CGGCGCGGGAAAAGATGTCTGGTCGAGGTAAGTAGCAGGCGCCGCGGCGCGACGGCTGCCGCGACGCGATGAGCAAGGTCTGATCGTCTGTTCAAGTCGGGGCACCGGCGCGACGTGGCGGATGACTTCACTGGTGCGGCGCGGCGGCGCGATGACTGGAAAGCTCGGGTTTAAATGCATCACTTCGCAATTTATATCCGTTGGAGCTCGTTCGACCTCCGAATTCGGTTCCGTTTTCTCCCTTGTACTCCCATCAAAATGCTCTCTTAATCCATGTGTGCCCGGTCCATTTGCCGTGAGAAATAAATCCCCTCGAATTTTCTAACCTGCACACCAAAACGACAAACAACCGAAAAAAGACAAAAAAAAGAAGAGAAAAACCAAAATAGAACGAAATACCAAATAAACCATAAAATCAACTAAAACTCGACGAAACGACTCAAAACGGGGGAAAAAGAATGACAAAAAGATAACGAAAAACACAACAAAAATGAGACAAACATTAATACCCACAATAGAAAGAGGTTATTGTACACTATAAATTTTCATCACATCACTAACAAAATGACTCATAAAACTTTCCACGTGTCGTGATATCATATGTGGCCCAGTTACATTGGGCCACTAAAGGTTAAATTGCCACATCACTAAAACAAAATGGCTGATAAAAGTTTCCATGTGTCGTGATATCATCATATGTGGTCCACTATGGAGTACAATCATTGGTTAACCCAATATGTACTTACTATTCTTTTTATAGATTATTATTATAGTGACATTGATTTCAATCAGTTCATTTTAATGATCAATTTATTAGTCATTAATTTCCTCCCAAACAAATTGCTTAATCTGCTAATCTAATACATTATGGTATTATATCAGTATATTTTTACGTAGCATGTACATAGTTCTAAATTTCTTCAATATTTAATGGGTCTCATATCTTTCTATATTTTGAGATAATTAACTATATAATTTCATTAATTAATTTGCAGGCATGTGCCTGCCCTAATAAATCAAATTTCTCCTCATGAATTTCGTAAAAAAAAAATAACGGAACACAATCATATATTTATATATATAATTACGGGGATATATATATATATATGATTGTGCAAACACACAAATTAAGGGCTGATAAACAAGGGGAGGGGACCATGGCATTGAATTTGAAGGGTGTTTTATTTTATTAGCCATATTATTTTATATATCTCTCTATATATATAATACACATCCTCTCTTATTACAGCTCTTAGGAGTTTGTTTCCAGGTTGTGAAAAGGGCCCTTTGATTGCATAATTAGCTAAGTTTAACTCATTTCAAACTTCCAGTCATTAATTGCCTACCTGTGGACCATACTAATTCATGACCCACTAATAATAATAATAATAATAATAATAATAATAATAATAATAATAATAATAATAA